CCCTGCAGGCACGCCTTGAACGGGCCCTCCACCATGGGGAGGAACACCGTGTACACATCGTCCTTGCTCTCCACCAGGATGAACTGGGTTTCCAAGGGGATGTCGCGGCCACTGTTCCCCATTCGCTGGGCCATCCACCACAGCTTGAACCGGAAGCAGGCAAGGAAACGGACCTCCCGCAGGGTCCCAAGCGGGACAACGTGGCTGCTGCCCTCCTGGTTGAGCACCGCCCCGAGGAAGACACCCTCCGCTGGGCCCTCACCCGCACCGGAGGTCGCGATTACGTTCTCCGGCACGCCCACAAGGATCGTCTGGTCCTTCACCACCAGATTCCGCTCGGAGGAGATCCGGACGGCCGGCTTGATCGTCATTTTTCCCTCTGCTGGTACTTTTTTCTTCTTCTGCTTGGCTTCAGCCTCACTGCCCTGCGCCAATTATTATTAATATTCAAAAAAGAAAACACACAGACACAGAGAGAGAGAGAGAGAGAGAGAGAGATTAATTCGAGGCAATTAATGGTGGATCTGTCGTCGAGCTTGAGCTTCCATTAGAAAGAAACTACAGAAAATCCTAGCTATGATCGAATTAAAGAAAAGGGGAACATTTTTACATACCTTACCCTGCAAGCACCAACTTGATTGAGTGAAGAAAATGAAGATCTGTGTTGATAAGTGGTGTTGAAGCGTGGTTTGAAAATGGCGTTGAGAAGGAAGGTATTTATAGCAGTTGGGCGACTGTAAGAGAGAGAAAGTGCCATCACCATTGTTGGGGGATTGGATGATGGTGGCGGCCACTTTCTACACACCGCACGATAAACTTTCAGATCTTACTTTATTTCATATATTGCATATGCAACAACAACAAGTGCCACACATTTTTATTTTATAAATAAATAAGAATTCTTGCTTATAGGGCTCCTTCACAACATACTCGGGGGAGATGATACGGTCCTATTAAATCGTGCCGTCGAGATTCGTAATCGTTAGATTATCATGTTATCAACAAGGATAGATGATCTAACGATTACAAATTTCGACGGAATGATTCCATAATAGGATCGTAGCATTTTTCTTACAAGGGGTTCTTCACTTTTAAATACTTCTATCTAGAGAATTTATTTAACAGTTTAGTTACATATAGACATGGCTGGTTCCGATCGGCCCGTCGAACTAGCACGGAACCGGAACCAAAACCGGAACCATTATTGGCCTAGACGACGGGTCTTGGAACCGGACACGTAATAAAATTTGGCCGATTCTGAGTCTTATTTTTTCTTTTCTGACCTATTTCGAGTCGGACGACAAGTCATAGTTATTTTTATTTTTAGATAAACCGGCAATTCAATGAACTAGCTGATCGAACTGATTCATTTGAACCGACATTTAAGCCGGGCCGGTTCATTTGTATCAGGAAAATCTTTATTAATGTTGAGCTACAAAACCTCTTCATATAAATAATTAAGATGAATTTATGTGATCTTTCATTAAAAAAAAAAAAAAAATGTTGGGTGATACTCCTAAAATTTTGATCCCTTTCCGTAACGCGACATTCTTACGCCCATACTGTCAATAGACTCAATATTATAATGAAAAAATCTGATGAATGGGTCTCCATACTATAATAAAAATCTGATGAAGGGGTCTCACAAATATCATTAGTGTTAAATATTTTATTGTTATAAATATTTTATATTATAAATATCTTTGAATTTTAAATTGATTTGTGCTATAAATATCTTAAATTATATTGTAATAGAATTATACGACGTTTAATGAAAAATAATGAACATATTAATAACTTAATGAAAAATAATTTGCATAAATTTTAACTACTTTGATATAAAAAAAATATGTTAATTAAAATATTATAATTTATTTTCCATTGTATCATGAAGAAGTATATACATGTAATACAATTTATTGTGTAATTGTATTTCGTTTATATAATGATTCTATCTCTGTGTATATTTTATGGTTATTTATATTAGTCTATATATTTCTTTTAGACTTTTTTTTTTGTAAAATTCTTATTACATGGGATAATATTGAATATGCGTTAAAAGAATATATATATACATATTGATTATTTTTTAAATAGTTAAAAGAATATATATATACATATATAAAAAGGTTTGATTATTTTTTAAATAGTAACTATTTTCCGTAAAAAAAAATATTATTTATTAATTTTGAAAACTATTTAAATATTTTATGGTATGTTTTAAAGATACATTTAGGTAGCACTGTCAAAACGGGTCATGGCCCGCGGGTTGGCCCGTCCGCCTGCCTAAACGGACGGGCTTGGGCCTTTGCCTAGCCAGCCCGTTCAATCGCGGG